CAAACGTTGGAGCTCGGGGTGGCACTAGCGCACCGGAGAAGTCTCCTCCACGTATAAACACCCTTCACTTGAGCTACATCTCTTCTTTCCACAACCAGCCACTCAAACTCAAAATCACATCCAAAGCCATACATGCGGCCTCGAAAGCTTTGGCGGTCTCAAAATGCGCCGTTCAGATTTCATGTCTTTTAGCGCTCAAAGAGGTCAGCGCGATTCACTCACTGCCTCTAGTATCATTACACGAAAATTCCGCATTGCACAGTCATATGTATATTACCGCATGGGCGAAAAGCTCAACTGGTATCATCTTTCAGGATACCTCCGCTGCTACACAAAGTCGAAAGCTCATTGGCGGTGTTGGTGCAGGGCTGAGTATATAAACCCCTCTATCGCCGATGGACAACTCTTCCATAAACAACACCTAATCTACGTGTTTCCAAAACGCGGCGTTAAACAGTGGCATGGAGTTTTGTCGTCCTTGCTTCTCCAAAAAGCCAATCCAACAAGCGGATGAGCATTCTTGAGCACCAGTCTCGGTCTACCAAAAGCCATTTCGCATGGCCTTATGGTCGTGCATGTGCACTACAAGAACATACCATGCTGAAGAGATGCGAAACTACTCGCTGTTTCATGCGCTGACACAGCGGAGGTAAAAGTTGTCGTGGCTCAGCTTATGAGAGTGAGTAGCATATATACTTCCTCACCGTCTGCCGCTCTTCTCCTTCCGCAACCTCGACTTCAATGTCTCTCCAAAAGTATCCGTTCAAGAATCTATGGAGAGCTGCCTGTATCTCCACCCATATACCCATTCAAAAACATCTACACTTTTGCCATGGCTTTCTCTTGCGTAGCCAGGTCCAGATAGCGACATATATACCACGCTAGACGGTGAGCAAGACTAAAAGCAGCTGGGAGCCTACATATGTGAAGCGTCCGGACAAGTTCAATCTTACATGTGGCCTAAGAAAAACTACAACTCAGAATTTCATACGCGGAGAGCGCGTTTTCTGGCTTCTATAAAACCTTAAGTTGCCTGTCTCTCTACTTTGCTCTCATTGCTTTAAATTCTCCATTCTCTCCAAAAGTCATGGAAAAAAACGTACATGCTGTGCGTGGCGTTCTTCCTCTCCAAAACAACAACATGTATGCATATGAGCATTGCTTCTCCGACCTTTCCGAACACACTCAGTACCCACAAGAAAAGACGATGCCAACCAGCCATGTGCGCCAAACGCTCAGTCGCGCAGTATGAATCCTCGTCTTCGGCTCTCTCTGCCTCACAGCTCCTGTTACTATCCGCACCTTCCTTGTATTATCCAAAACCGAAGTTGAATAAGCGCATGCTGTGCGCGACTGCTGCGCGTCTTCTAAAGTGACTGTTACCACTACCCGTGAAAAGCGGCTTTCCGATTCGGATCTACATACCAAATCTCTCAAATAAAAAAAAACGTTCACGATGTGCATGTGTAAGCAGACATTATCAAAGCTATATAAAAGCCTGCCCTCGCTGCCTCTTCTCGTCTTTCTCTCTACACCTACGCCTTTTAATAATTTTACCAAAAATCAGCCATCACCCCGGAATGTTCTGAGTGCCGTCGTCTTCTTTGAACCAGCCTGAGTCTTCACTTATGAGAAGCTTGTCTCCACCCTTTTGCGAAAACATCGAAAACTCAACAAACTATGGAAACGTGTCCATGTGCACCTGCCAAGTCTCCTAAACATTATAAAAGCTCGGTCCTTGCCTCTCTTCAACTTCCTTCCTACCTCTACGCTTCCATTGTTGTTGCATTTTCCAAAACAATCGACGACAAGAAACATGATCCTATTCTCTCCGAGTCAAAACATGGCGCTATTTCGGTATGTGAGGATTGTTCCTCCACCCTCCGAAAACATATCGAGCACCACAAAGGATAGAATACTGCAACAATGTGGAGTAGCGAGCTGATTGAAAACAAGCAAAAGAGTATAGATGGCTCTCCTCCCGCCTTATCCTAAAACTTCACTTCGACCTCGTGTTCTCCAAAAAAAATATCAACATACTTTGGATGCTGCGCAAAGAGCCTTTCCTCCATTCCAAAAAGAATTCGAGACTGCGATATGAAAAACACTGGTCCAACTCTTCAAAAAGTATTTCGAGGATAAAAAGAACGAATCAGACATGTATGCGCAGCGCACGAGCCAGGACACGGGTATATAAACCTCGTCTCGCCTCTTCTCTGCTTTCCTTCCTACATCCGTTTTGGTCTTCGGGACTCCAAAAATCCAGACATGAATGTCCCATGTTGTGCGGAGTGTCTTATCCCTCTTTTACTCAAAAGTCCGAAAAGGCCTTTCCGATGGGGATCGTCGTTCCAATCCCTGCATCAACATACGCACTCCTAAAACTCTTGAGAACAGCGCCATGTACGGTCGGCACGTGGATAAAGGCGTATAAATACCTCCGCTCGCCTCACTTCTCCACTTCTCTTCAATATCCACACTTCCCTGTATTTCTCCAAACACATTGGAAAAAACGCTCATGGAGTGTGCTGCTGCGCCTTCCTCCAAAACTTTCGACGATATGGAATATGAGCTGTGGTCTTCTCTCTAAAAGCACCGATGTGTTGGGACATGAGCTGTGCTCTCCTCTCCAAAAATTCTCCACGAGCTTGCGATGAGGCGTGCTCGTCTCAAAATAATAGACGTACAGCGTATGTGGAGCGTGCTGTCGTGCTGTTTCCCAAAGCGGCATTAAGAGACCTGGATGCGGTGGGTTTGTTGGGTTGTTCTGTGCCCTTCCTAAAAGCTATCATATCTACACGATGTTTCGTCCTCTTGAACTCGAGCGCATATACGATAATTGGGTCTGTGAACTGTCATTTCAACCGGATCATAGTGTCGTGAGAATGGTGATCATCATCATCAGCAATCTGGTTCAGTGGTCACACATGGGCGGGGTAGGCTGTCAACGCCTCACGCCACCCCTCTTATCACCACCATACGACATGATCACACAACCGCACGCAAAACAAACAAATCAAAGACCGAACAAACTTCCATAAGACACACCGCTTGCTCAAGTTCGGCTTCCATCTATCTACAAACCTATCATGCACAAACGTGGTCAGCCAGCAAAGGGTTCATGCTGAAAGAGTTTAAATACCAAGAGTGAATTCGACGCCGACGTCAATGTCGCGCGCCATCTTGACGACCTTTGAGAACTGGACGGACTTCTCAGCGGCGGCTTGGAGATCATCGATGGAGAAGATCTTGAGGCCTGAGTCGTTGAGCTGGAAAATGACGTGTTAGCATAGATATATATCATGTTTGTTGTTTTGGCGGAACTTACGAGCTTGTGAGCAGCCTCCATGTTGGTACCCTGCAACCTAGCAATAACAGGAGTCTTGAGGTTCATCTCGTTGACGACCTGGATGAGACCCTTGGCAATAGCGTCGCAACGGACGATACCACCGAAGATGTTGACGAAGATGGCAGTGACCTTGGGGTCGCTGGTGATCAAGTCAAACGCTTGCCTAATAGCCTCAGGTGTAGCACCGCCACCAACGTCGAGGAAGTTAGCGGGCGCGCCACCGTTCAGCTTGATGATGTCCATGGTAGCCATGGCAAGACCGGCACCGTTGACGAGGCAGCCAATGTCACCGTCGAGCTTGATAAAGTTGAGGCCAACCTTGGCGGCCTTGACTTCCTCAGGGTCCTCCTGGGTGATGTCCCTCCAGTCGAATACCTCCTTCTGGCGGAAGTCGGCGTTGTCGTCGAAGTTGAGCTTGGCGTCCATGGCGAGGACCTGGTGGTCGGTGGTCTCGGAGAGGGGGTTGATCTCGATCTGGGTTGCGTCCTTCTCCATGAAGACCTGGTACAGCTTCTGGATGGTGTCCTTGGCGTCCTCGATGCACTGCTCTGAGAAACCGAGCTCGGTCGCAATGTTGCGGGCAATGTCGTCGGTGACACCCTTGTGGATGTCAATGGGGGTGGTGATGATGGCCTCGGGGTGCTCCTTGGCAACAGTCTCAATGTCCATTCCACCTTGCGACGAAGCAACGATTACGGGTCCTTGTGAAGCGCGGTCCATGAGGATGGCGAGGTAGAACTCGCGGCGGGCGAACTTGCGGTCGACGATGAAGACGGAGTTGCAGAGCCGGCCGGCGGCTCCAGTTTGCTTGGTGATGAGCTTGTGGCCGATCATCTGGTCGGCGAGGATGGAGGCTTCGCGGGGACTGCATGTTGTGTTAGAGGGTGGCCGCGGTCGTGTTATGGTTGCGACATAGCATACGAGTAGACGACTCTGACACCGCCCTTGAAGCCATTGTCAAAGGTACCCTTTCCACGGCCTCCAGCGAGAACCTGGGCCTTGATAACAGCATCCTCTCCGCCTGCGCGCATTAGCCCAGAACTTTGCATTCACTCTTGCTGTCGCATACCAATCTCCTTGGCGATCTTCTCTGCCTCGGCGCCGCTGGTAGCGACGCCACCCTTGGGCACGCCGATGCCGTACTGAAATTCGCATTAGATATCTAGACCCTCGAAATTGGTGGACATGCGGTGGAGCAATCGTACCGACTCGAGCAGGGCAGCGGACCTGTATTCGTGGATGGCGAGACCTCTCCTTTGCTGGACGACAGAGCGCTTTAAAGGTGTCTCCTAGGCCGTGTTAGCACATGACCCCCCAATGTGGTGCACGCTGCGTAAGAGGCTTTCGCAGCTTTGCGGAGTAGGCCCGTGTACATACAGCAGCAGCGCGGACAGCGCGAGCCAGCGGCCGGGCGCGGGCGAAGTTGTACATGATGTCTGAGCGGCAGACACACGTGTGGGTATATGGAGGAGAGTTGGAGGGGGTAGAGCTGGAGTGCACAGCTCCGTTGGTGTTGCGGCTTCACAGGGCTGTTGCGGACGTCTGCTAGCGCGCCGAGAATGAACCGGGTCCTCTCAAAAATATCGCGGCCGGGAACTTCTGTAACACCAAGCGACTGGAACTTGATGCGCCTCTACATAATCGCGCAACCATGTCTAAGCGGAATAATGAGGGCGATGTCATCGCGAATCGCATAAGTCTGCTCGAGGCAAAGGGTCAGAAACTCTTGGCATCGTTGTATGGTTCGCGGCCGGACTGGGGCACTGCGGATGGTGATGCGAAAACACAAGTTGAAGACGATGATCAAGATCTGAAACAAAATTACGCTCACGACAGGTAAATACGCATTCTTGTGGTGCCGGTCGCACTTCTGACAGTGTCTCTAGGATTGGTGTCGGCGGCATAGTTCCCAAGGATATCGAAGATGGCAGCTTCACCAGCAGGATACGAACATCAGACGACAAACTCTTGCAACAGTTGATTGGCAAAAAGAAAGCAAAAGCCCACATTACTGCGAAACAAGAAGCTGCGAGACCGAATGCAGCCTCCAAAGCTCAACATTACAAGAAGCTTGCTGCAAAGAAAGAAGAGTCGGATGACGACGAAGAGGGAAGGGCTGCGACATTCAAATCTAAGAGACAGAAGAAGAAGGTGAAGCAGGAAGCTAAGCCTGCGGATAGCGATGACGAAGATGAAGAGACGAGGGCGAAGAGGTTAGAAGGCGGCACTGTGAAGCAAGAGGAGGAATTACCAAAAAAGGTCGCCACAGAAGCTCAAGCAGAAGCAAAACCTATCAAGAAGGAGGAGGAAGATGAAGAAGCGGAAGCCATCCAACCAGCACCCAAGAAAGCGAGGACAAAACCCAAGAGCTTCCTCGACGAAATTCTCGCTGAACGGTCAAAGAAGAAGAGCAAGAAAGGAAAGGCATAGAGGACAGCGATGAGCCTGAAGAGAGTGATGCATATTCACTGGCGTTAATATTTTCTTTATTTCGATACCCAGTTGCCTCCGAGGGAGGTTCAGAACAAATGTCGAACAGCAAGATACCCTCAATCTGATATGAACGAGATCTAATTTTCAAGTATGTCGTTGTCTACTCCCTAATAATCAAACTAGCCATCCCCATACCCGTCCCAATACACTTACTCAACACACCAACCTGCTCCCCACTCCTCCCCATCTCATTCAGCAACGTGGCCAACATCCTACCACTCGTCGCACCCAGCGGATGTCCCAACGCAATAGCCCCTCCATTCGGATTCACCTTATCCATCTTGCCTTCCAATCCCAACGTCCGAATGCAATGCAACGCCTGACTAGCAAACGCCTCGTTGATCTCCCAAACATTCACATCAGATGTTTGCAGGCCAGTGTAGTCGAGAAGTTTGGGTATGGCGAGGGCAGGTCCGACGCCCATTTCATCGGGCGAGCAGCCAACGACTTGTGTGCCCGCCCATTTACCGATAATCTGGGATTCCAGACCGAGGGTCGTAGCGGTGGACCGACGCATCATCAACGCTGCAGACGCGCCGTCGGAGACTTGACTGCTGTTTCCCGCTGTGCTTGTGCCGTCCTTGATAAACGCAGGTTTCATCTCCGCGAGTTTCTCGACCGTTGTTCCAGGCCTGATCCCATCGTCCTTTGTCACGGTGATGCTCTTTGTGTTCTCGGGGACTTCGGGCTCGATCCAGCGGGTGGTTACGGGTACGATCTCGTCGTCGAAGAGACCGGTTCTCCGTGCTTTGGCGGCGCGCTGTTGCGATTCGGCGGCGAAGGCGTCTTGGTCGGCGCGGCTGACGCCGTAGCGTGATGCGACGTTTTCGGAGGTTATGCCCATGGCCATTATGCAGTCTCTGGCTTCCTTCACGGGACTTTCTTTCATCTCGGGCCAGAGTTCGGTGGGTACGGCCCTGCTGCCATAGTTCCGTGTCATGCTCTCCATGCCGCCTGCAATGCCGACGTCTATTTGTCCTACTGCGATTGAGTTCGCGATTGAAGTTATAGCGGACAGGCCAGATGCGCAGGCGCGGTTTACGGTGCTGAAGGAGGTTGTGGTGGGAATGCCGACGTGGTTTGCTGCCATGCGACCAGCTTTGGAGCCACCGAGCTCTGCGAGAACGGTGCCGACACAAATATCGTCTATTTTCGCGGGGTCGAGATTGGGGAACTTGGCCATCGTGGCTTTGAGAACCTGAGATGCTGTTAGAACTCGGGTCTGTGTATTCCAGGTGCTGAGGATGGCATACCGCTCCTAGAAGCTCATGCTCATATGCATCGCGCAGTCCACCCTTCTTCGCTCTTGTGACTGGCGTGCGAAGTGCTGATAGGAAGACAACATCGTGGGGATTCTTTTGGAGAATGTTCTTGAGACCCTTCTGGATGAAAGCCATTGTGAGGCGATGGACTGTGATGGAACGCTAAGAGACAGAGGAGGGTATCAAGAGGATAAGAGAGGCGAAGTGAAGTAACGCCGATGCTTGCGAGTAAGAGACAGAATGTCCTGGCTTTTGCCGCGCGACGAGGCCATGGTCGTTGTAAGCTAAGCTCCAGGTCCGAGGAAGGCGTGGAGCTTCGCTTCGGCAAGTGAGCGCGGGGCGGAGGAATGGCGGCAAAGCTCTCTTCCGCGTCATGCACGGAAAACAAACCCGCCGCATGGAAAAGGCTTATGCATATGCACGATGATAGATGTAATTCGAGACGCTGTAGGCTGCAAAGAAGGCAAGTCGATTTTGAAGATTTAGCTCAATCTACCTGTGTAGAACTCGTGAGTAGCTACACTCCCAAAGACGACTGCGTCAAGCATCGATCCTCGATCCCATCCGCACCTATGTTGCCTCCGCCAAAATGCTCAAAACTCGTAGGAAAATCGCGTCAGTCGTGTTCAAAGTCGCTAAGACTCAATGACTCTCTATGCATGCCCCCGAAGTCACCGGTGTGGTGAAATCAAGCTCAAGAGCGAGCGGATAGCCTACGCGGCGGGGTATACGAGACGGAAAACGTCGTTCAGAACGAACCAGTTGCCATCAGCGTTCTTGAGCTGGAAGGCCTGGGTGAAGCTCATTGGCTTGTCCTCGCCCGCAAGCTGTTCAGTATTAGTCAAGGCCGGATGCAACGATACATGGGAACGACTTGCCAAAAGCGCACCGGTGACGAGCACAAGGATACCGTCATCGGCGGAAGGCTGAGCGTCGACGGTGTCGGTACGGTGTTGTATCTGCTGGAATGGCAGGTTCTTCCCTGCATTAGCCCCGTCCCTGTTTTGTAGGCAGAATCGTCGTTACCTGGAGCTTCTCTACAATGGCAGCGGAACCCTGAGTACCTTGCGCCTCAAAGGTGAGCATAGAAGTCTCCTTCTATAGCATTTGTCAGCCGACTGCTGCTTTGCGCACACGGTATTGAGTCGCATACGTAGAGGGCACCGAGACCAGCGCGGTTCTCATCGAAGGTCTTGTAGTAGAACTGGACGAACTGCTCTGAAGCAAGGGTCAGTCGCGGTTTGATGGATGGAGCGATCGCGGAGAGAATGTCGGCGGGGTTGTGCTTGCTGTATCCGGTGGTACATACGGGCGATGGCGTTGAAGTCGGCTGTGGAGGAGTCAGTTCTGCATTGTACACATAGCGTTGCGGCATGAACGTGAACAAAGCATCATGTCTTAGATTTCCCGCATCTTCCTCGTACAGCCTTGCGCCCACGGTTGGAAGCTATACACGTCCGCCGGATGCGCATCGAGGCGGTGGTGGGGTAGTGGTAGGCAACTTACACATCTTTGCGATTTCTCGGACGTGGCTTGTCTGATCAAGAAAAGAGTTGGCTACGGGGTGGCTGAGAGGTACGCGACGGCAATAGAGCGATGTGACGTGGAATTCTCGAGAAAGTGTTTGGGCTTTTGCTGTCACTGCCCGCCATCGATGGGCTTCGTTGGTGGGGCAGCCGCTAGGCTTGGAAGGGCTCGGCCCGATTTTCAGCCGAAGCCTGCCATTTTCTTCGAAGCTTCGCGCCTGCTGGATTCTCTCACACCAACGCTGGCCATCAACAGCTTCATGCAGCACACATGTTGTGGCCAGCGTCGCGTCGCATTACTCATCCGTAAGTCATCACCATCTCTCCCAACTCCTGCATTATGATGATCAACACAAACGATAACTTCCGAGTCAAAGACGGTGAAGTCCAAAAAAATTCAAGCTCAACAGGCTGATTGCCCATACACACTCTGTATTGTCTATTACATGGAGATTGCATATGCTAACATGTCTTCTTCAGATTGCCATGCATGCGACCGATGCTTTGCCGCTCAAACAAGCGCGCCGCCCAAATAGTGTACATAGCCAATCGAATACCGTTATTGCCGTTCATCGATCCTTCCGAATAATCGATGCTACCATCTACAATCCCTTCTTCTGGAAAGACTTGACAGAGTCGACAATCGACTGCTCGAAGGTCTTGTACTTGAGCCCAAGGATGTCGATGGAGCGCTTGTTGTTGTATGTGTAGAGGCCCTTCTCAGGTGTGCCTTCAGGGTAATCGCCGCCTGGTGTTGAGTCGCTCGGCAGGTCCTTGAAGTCGGGGAAGTTCTTCTTGATGATCTGGCATAGCTCCTTGTTGGAGAAGTATCCGGCCGTGACGAAGAAGCGCTTGTTGGCTGCGTCGGGCTTCTCGAACGCAGCTACGTGTGCCTCCGCGACGTCGCGGACGTCCACCCACAGATGTACACCACTGGGTGGGATCTCGTCCTTGAACTTGCCTTGTGCCGCTGACAGAATACGCTGGTTTGAGGTGTTCATGTTGTCAAGACTGTCAAGAGCGTGTACCTTGGTGCATGTTAGCGATTGAAATGGAGAGTGCATCGCAAGACTTACAATCGGTCCAAAGACCATCGGTGGGTTAATCGTGGAGACGGTGAAGTTGGGCTTCTCCTTCTCAACGAATTCCCACGCAGCCTTCTCAGCAAATGTCTTACTCGCTCTGTATCCCATCATTGGGTTCTCCGTGGCCTCTTCTTGTGTGATCGGGTTCCAGTCGTCCTCGGAGTATGCGTGTCCTGGCCAGAAACCTTTGCTTCCGTTTACGATAGCGGCGAACGAGGACGTGATGACGACATTCTTGACGGAGGGCTACACGGCATCATTAGCATGCGAATGTAAGTTTTGCACTCTTCGGACTCAACATACCGCGCTCTTCTTGATCGACTTCAAGATGCCAGTTGTTCCAATGACAGCAGGGTCAATCAGGTCCTTCGTCGTGTTAGCCAGCTGTCCGGTTTACTGAATTCCCAAGAAACTCACTTTCTGGACATCAGTGACGTTGAAGTGGAACGGGCTGGCAGTGTGAAGCACAGCCTCGAACGGAGGGTCTGAGATAACAGCCTTCTCGAAAGCATCTGGTTGAGCGATATCCGGAACGATGGCGAAGCTCAATTGGCCCTTGTCGACGTAGCTCTTGTATGATTCCTTGATCTTGTCCGCCTTCTCCTGGGTGCGCACCGTGGTGACTACACTGTGTCCATGGTCTAGGAGGATATCGAGGGTGTGCGCAGCGATGAAGCCGCTTCCTCCTGTAAGCAGTACTCTCGTCATATTGTTTTTAGGTAGTGAAGTCTGGTGTTTAGGTGTTTTGGGCGTCAAAGTCTAGACTTGAAGCTGTGCGGGAATGACAGCATATATGTAGCCATGACATCCCACCTAGCGCGGGGTAGAGCTTCCCCGAAGTTCGGATTTACTCTCTTTCGCCGTTGTAACTGCCGCCGTCGCTTACGAAACTTGCGTTCGTTCGTGGCTATATCCGCGGCTCGTTCTCCAGAGTATTGCGTCATGCCCGTCATTCATCGATGGGATACTTTTGGTGGGGCATACTGCATCTTCGTGTCGCCTTCTCGTGGTACAGCAAACAATTGCTGATCTGCAGCTTCCGGTCTCTTCGGTTTTCCAAAAGG